GGTATATCGACTTTATATCCTCTTCACATACCGCTACCGTACATCCGTACACGGTGAGCAGTGGTTCCGTTCTTTTCTTAGACTACACAGTCTGGCTGTCTCTGCTCAGCCTACATGGATGCTAACACTTCCGCTACCATTCTTACTCATCGTCCCAAGCTGTTTATGCACCAACTGCATCACCCGCATCAATTCGCGCAACGCGTAATCCTACGTTTTCGTAAGAAACATCTGCTGTTGAGACTTGGTTAATAACTCGGTACTACAGAGCTGACAACAGATGTGATGACAAGCATGTCAGTGAGTGCAAATTTGGAACTCGGATATTAATTTAGTCGCTTGTCTGAACAATCCCGGGACGGAACGCGTTAGCTGTTTTGCTGATGTCAGACCGCAAGTGGCTGATGTGGGGTACATAGGACTGGGCGCGTGAACATGAGAAGCTGAATTTTGGACTGTTTTTGGAATCTAGATGGTGTTGACGGGCCAAGCAATGTGCTCAGCATGTGGTACCTGTGCGTGCTGCTCTGGAATATGGCGCCATCCGGTAAGAGTGGGTTGCCAGGGTCTGCATGGCGATGCAGCGGCGGGATATATGCGGCCGTTGTGCGTGGCATGGCCAAAGTGATCAACAAAGGATGTGTTACACTGTTTGCAGCATTAGGCCGCGCAACAGGCTTGGTGGCTGTATGTCAGGAACAGGTGCGAAATAGACTGCCTCCTTTGTCAGCGTTAGCCAAGAACGTCTATTCTTGCACTGGTAAATTGATCTCGACAGCCAGTTTTGAAGCACCTCTTGTTCTTCCATGCACGCAAACAAAATCGAACGGATTAAAGCATAGTGTGAAATTATTGTTTTGTATTGATACATCGTGGGCAGTTACTGGTTTGTCCACGTATACGGCCGTCGCAGTCTCTTAGCCAAGGTCGTCGCTATAGTCATGCTCGCGTCATGAAGTTATCCATCTACCTCCTGGGGAGAACATCCTTCGCGCCATCCTTCACCCGTTGTGCGGCATCGGCGACGGCGTCCCTGGTGAGGTGGAAATGCTGACCGAGACGGTCCTGCGAGAGTGTTAGTATTGTGTTCAAGGCAGCGGATATAACTAGTAGCTTACCTGCTCAGCTCCCATGCCGCTACCGGCCATCAGCTTCGCCCTCTGCTGACCATCGTATCCAAGGCCAAAGTACTTGGCGTTCTTCTCTCCGTTGGCAGCCACGCTTCCCGCAGCTTGTATCGCCTTGGCGGCATCGATGCTGTGCAGCGCAGGGCTGAAGTGTGCGTTGTATCGATCTTGTTCGGCGCCATCGCCCTTGTACTTAGCCGCTGACTTCATGGCGTTGTAGCCACGGTCGCCGATGCTCATGTGGTCGCCGTAGCGGTCCTGCTCGGCGCCATCGCCCTTGGCCAGGGCAGCTTGTTGCAGCTTGTTGAGCCCCTTGTCGACACCGCGGCGGATGGCATCTGTGGAAGCGCCGAAGTGCTCGCCAAAGCGATCTTGCTCAGCGGCGGAGCCGTGCTTTGTGGTGACATCGACGTTGACGGGGTGAGTCGCGAGGGAGGACTTCTCGTCGGAGCTGAACCAACCCATTGTGATTGATTTGAGGTTGTTTGTGGTGGGTGAAGAGGGGTTGAAGTTGAGTTGAGAGTGCGGGAATTGAGTTTGTAATGGCTGTGTGATGGTGTCAAGAGGACGAAAAGATGTCGTGTTATGTTGCTGGGTTGCGGAGAATGATGACGTAGGGGCTAGCGAGTGCGCTAGCATCCTTGTCTTGTGCCTGATCGTCATGTGAAGACGTCGCCGCGGCCCACTAATCATCATTGCAATGTCAAGTTTGCCGTTCCTTCATGCTCTTGTTTTGCTTTTGCCATGTCCGGCTCTCCGCGTCGTGCATTTCATCCCAGAGGTCATTGTGCTATGAGCTTCCAGTGCCCAGACTTTGACGCATTGCCCAGGAGCAACAATTCAGCCAGTCCTTCAACGTTTAAGGAGCATGCACCTATGCGAAGCGGTTCGGCTGCATGAAAGCAACGCTTCTGCAGATGTTCAACTCGCGGACGAGAAAGACGCGGGCTTCGAGGGGTGGCTGCCCCACTCGGAGCTATGCAAAGTCTGATTGGCCAGTGTGTAGCGCGCACCACAGACGTTCTGCCGTCATCCTTCCCCTTCATCATACTTCCATCTACATTGCTCGCAACGTTGTCATGCAGTTCGCGCGCGCAGTTGGTGCTTTGAGTCTATTCCACTTCCTTTCTAGTCATCTCTGGTTGCTGTCTGACCCCACAGTTTCACCACCTTTACCCGTGACCATTCCGTACGCAGCAATCCTGTCAAACATTACTCGCTTTCTTCCGCGTGCTTTGCAATTCTCATTTTCATCGCGTTAGCAAATTTACATTCAAGAAAGAGCTGGGAGACATGATTCATGTCTTCGCTAATCTTCCGCATCCCCTTCGCAGCTTGCTTTACAAAAGCGCGCCTACACCTGGCCTTGCGCATTACGACTTTTCACTTGGTTAAAAAAAAAACCAGCAAAAAGAAACCTTCAATTCCTCCTCTCACCAGCCTCGAACCACCACCCTTAACCAGCAAAAAGATACCATGGAACCTTGTATTCTATCCAGGTACGAAACTTGCTTCTTTAATGGCAGTTTATCACGACTAGCTTGATGTTTTTTCTGATTGGCTTCTTGTTCGGTTCTTGTTTCTGGCCTTGAGCTTCCTCTGGCTTCGGCTATAACCGGCCGGAGTGCTGAATGTTTTTTCTGTGTGCTAGCCGCCACCCTTTTGTTGGCAGGTAAAGGTGGTTTCGATGGCGGATTTGGGGATTGGGTGGGTTATAACTGCGGGGTATGTGGAGGTAGAGGTGAGAGCAGAAATTTCAGGATTGAGTGAGAGAGACGCGTTGTTGCGGTCGCGTGGCGGCTGTTGTGAGGTGAGAGAGCGGAAATTAGAGCGAGCACAGGTGAAGATGGGCGAAGGCGGAGATGCGACAAGGCCGCACAAGCGCTGCAAAGTGGCCATCGGCTTTCGTTCGCCATGCCCACGAGATGTGGCACATATGACGATCGAGAGCTGCCATTGCATCAAGAAAACGCAGCGCCAACAGGTAACAAACGCGTCTCCAGCACATAGGGCAAGTATTTATAAGCTATCTCGCGCGGAGAGATCAGTTCTGTTTCGAATGAGCAGCGACAAAATGGATTTACAACGTGCCAGCGTCCCGACGCGCAACCAATACGACCGTGTACGCCAGATACAGGCCGTTGGCAATTTCAACAAAGCGATATGGCTCCTCAGGAACAAAACAACTGGCCAGCTTGCTGTGCGCAAGGAATTCACTCCCGGAGACGTTGCATCGGGTTTTGCTGCGCGCGAGATAAGCCATCTCATACGTCTATCGAACTGCGCTAATATCTGCACCTACCGCGAGCATGAGTTGGACTTAGCAACGGGAACTGGCGCACTTGTCATGGACGTGTATGCATACGGCGATCTATGGGCTTTGCTCGAAAAGCATGTCAGCCAGCGCAAACCTTTCAGCGAGAGCTTTATCTGGCACGTCTTCAGATCGCTGGCTCGGGCTCTCCGACATATGCAGCGAGGCGATCCTCCGGTTCTGAGCGACACATACGACTGGATACTGCACCGAGACATCTACCCGCGCAATATCTTCCTCGGGCTCCCTGCCTCTCACGAACCCTCATGGCCGAAAGTTGTTCTCGGAGACTTTGGCTCGAGCATATCAAGTGTTGATCAGTGGCAAACTATTGAGCTTCGACAGCAACAAGACTTTAGCCCACCGCCATTCGAACCGCCGAACAATAAAAGGAGTGACGTATACCAGGTAGGGCTGGTCATCGTTGCGCTGTGTAGACTGACCACGATGCCGAGCCTTTACTCGCGCTCGTTTCAAAGCAACCCTGCTGGCCTAGCTTATACACCGGGGCTCAACGATATCTTGAAGAGATGTCTCGAATTCTTACCTGTTACTCGCGTATCTGCGATGGAGCTACATCAGGTGCTGCTGAATACTCGCTTCATTGGGGGTGGTAGTCTACATGGGTTGTTACTTGGAGCGCCAATGTACCAGGCTTAGGTTACAGGGCCTCCCACACATAATTTGAACTGAGATGCTGGATTCGTATTGACATTCCGACGTAAACATTGCGTTACTCATTATCTCCTCAAGATACACAAGGTGTCTGCTCCGATGTCACGATAAAGCTCCGCGGGTGAGACAGGGACTAGTGCGCATATGGTTTAGCGTTGACCCTGGCTGCCGTCAACATTCCAGAAGTCGCGTCTTCCCTTCCAAGGTTTGTTCCATCGCGTCTTCATTGTCGCAGCCATCATCATCCACACTGTCAGGCCGGACGTATCGCCTTCTGAGATGACTGCATCATCACCGTAGTGCAATGTAGCGCGTCAATTCACTTCATTTGTCCTGTGGTGGCCTTCCTCTGGCTCTGCTCCTGCCTCCGACAGCCGGTCCAGCATTCTCAGCATGGCGCGCTCACATACCCTGGCGAACTTCGATGGGTCTAGCAACCTCGTCTTCGCATCTTTTCCCACTTTGCAATCTATCAAAGTCTCGTATCTGCTGACATGAGGGTAGTCTCGTTGTTTGTGTAAGTCGATGCTTGCCGTCTTCGTTATGATCACGCCTGCGGTCAGCTGCTTAGCATTTGGACAAATGACGAGAGGTTGGAAGTATATGAAGCTTGGAAGTGGCCGCATTTTCTGGCTTCTCGTATCATCTGTCAAAAGGTCTTCTGCAATTCTCTGCCCATGGCTTCTACATTCTGCTCGTATTGTCACGGGCCAGCAACACAAAGATGCGGCTGCAAACAACACTACTACTGCAACGGGGATCACCAAAGGGCTGATTGGAAAAATCACATGCATACCTGCCATGACATTCGGCTTGAAGCCTTCCTGCCGCAAGTCGCCAACGTTATTCAGTCAGCCTCTCTTGCACTCCTGGAAGCTACAAACATGATGCTGATTACGAAAATTGAACTGGAAAATCAGAAGATCGTCGCCTACCAGGGTCTTAACTTTAGTAACCACCCGTTCCCGAAGCTCACTGACGATGTGTTCCCTGATACAGCCACCAAACACGCGGTGCTGTGCTCAAATGCGCAATTCTTTCCCCTAGCATATATGCATCCGTTGCTCAAAAAGCTCATCAAGAGTGAGTGGCCCGACATATATCTGCGCGCGATTTAATGATAAGCTGACACTTGACCAGCCAAACATGTTGAGATCCACGAAGTCATGGTAAAGATCAAGACAGCATCACGGACCGTTCTTATACTCGCAGATGACGGTACAGAGTGCGAGAATTGGCCTGAGCACAATATTTCACTGTTACGAATTACCGCCAGTGGGAGCCGAAAGCAATGGTACATCAATCTATCCGGTGCTGAGCTCGGGCTCACGCAAGCATTCTTTACCGCTGCCGACTTCGAATCCAAGCACATGCAGGCGCTTTGTGCAGTCTACGAGTTCGGTAAATGTAGAGAATACATCTGGACCTGCTCAACTATGCCAGGCTGGTATGCGCACACAGAGCGCATCGGCCTTCAGGCCTCATCACGAATGGAAACAGCACTACTGACCTTCTTGCAGCAGCCTGGAAATGACTTGAGCAATCTTCGTAAGAGGAGCATCGCAGGCTCGACGAGCTGGACACAACCGTTGGTTGAGGCTTTGTCTCAGGCTGTTCATGGGTACATCTCCAACTACAACGTCGGTGGACTCATGTCTCAGATCATCAATGAGCCCGAGAGCCTAACGCGAGAAATGATGAGGAGGCATTTCGATTACGCTAGCATTCTTGGCGATGCTACGACGGTCGAGGAGAATGCGAACTGCCCTAAGGTGACTCTGGATCTGGCTAAGATTGAGGAAGAACACAAGGGCCCTGGCGTGAGTATGGTGATAGAGGAGTTCAAGTCTCTTTAGTCAGGGATGCTCACGGTTCATGGCCACGATTGGCGAACAATTGATGCGAGTTAAAAGTCATCTCTCAATCAGGAGTATACGACAGCTTTCGTCCTCCACATATCCAATCTCGAGACGCTTCGCTTGGGGGTTGATAGCTACGATATGGTTCGATCCTCTCGCGTCAACCTATGAAAACGCTGAACACTCTAGAGCCTACGTTGACGTCAGGTCAACCACTTTGCATCTTTTTATCTTGACGTAGTCTGCAGACGTGTTTCATCTAGTCATCTAGGCTGCAAGCCAAAAGCGTCATAGCTCACCTCGTGCAATCGGAACAAGTATTGCCCGGCTTGACCTGAATACCCTTCTGCGCCCACAACTCCTTTCCGCTGTTTACGACAACAAAGCAATCGCCATGGCTCCCGAATTACAAGCAGCGTGCGCCGTATGTGGCGAGCTGGCTCACAGCAAATGCGGCGCCTGCAGTTCAGATATCTCATCGCGTCATTACTGCGGCAAGGCCTGCCAGGTAAGATCTCCCATGTACGAACTGCGTGTGAGACATACACTGACTTCGGATATCATCAATTTAGGTAAAGGATTGGCCGATTCACAAGAAAGCATGCAAAGACGCCCAGAACGTCAACCTCGAGAAGAAGCTTGCGCGCGTAGCCGAGGTCATTCAACAGGCCTACTATGACTTCCGCGAGAACACTTGGGACAGGCCTATCATCAAGGTCGAAGACCGAGACGACGTTTTGGTGATTTACGAGGGCGACTATCAAAAGAAGTCGAAAAATTTCATCAGGTTTCCGCGACACCTTGTTACGAATGATCGTACCAAGAAGGCGATGCTTTGCGCTTGGGTGTGCAACGAGCCGATGATCTGGATGCATGATACTGTTCTCGGTGCTCTTCGAGGTAATACCTATAAAGACATTCTGCATCATTACGCTTACTCGATTCCCACAGGCCTCAACATCAAGATTGAGGAGGTTGGCGTCACCCTGGGCCGTGTTCCCCGAAAGATCACCATCCACCACTACCCTCAAGGCAGCAGTATGGACAACTGGCCTGGCTTCTACCATGAAGTCATCCGCGTTACATCAAGCAAGACCAGGAAAGAATGGGTCATCGATATTTGCGGTGCGCAGTACGGGATCTGCCAAGCCTTCTGGAGCTGGGACGAATACGCGAAAAGGTACGGTGCAGAGGTACGGAAGGTGCATCCTGTTGGCACGAGCAAAGCTCGAATCGAGGAAGTTGCAAACATTGCCGGCCAACCAAGCCTGAGTTACGGTTTAGTGGGAAAGGTAGCAGAACATTTCAACGAAGTTGTACACCGATGGCGAGTGGATGGCGGCATGTCACTAGCGGGCCTCCTCGACCTGGACAATGAGAAATACAAGCAAGCCAGCTGGGAGCTACTACGTATCATGGATGTCGCAGTTGGGACTCATATGGAAACTCATGGGTATGAAGCGGAATTCCTGGCTGCTCAGTACTACGAACGAAGGTATCCCGGTAAGAGCGCTAGTATCGCCTGCGCGGCCAACGAGGCGTTCTCCGCTCGAATTGCTGGCATGGTCGCAGCGAAGCATTAGTAGCATTGAGTTGGTGTGCGTTCCAGCAGCATGGGTAGGGTGTAAAAGGGTATCCAGGAGAATACATCGGCACATAGGTGTCCTCAAAAGAGTTTCCAAGTCTGATGTAGGCCTCCACCAGTGTCATAAATCTCTTGAAACAAGAGTAAATGCGACGTATCCCAGGCCGGGGAAGCTCGTCCAGACCTTTCCTTGCGGCTCGGTATCACCTTGAGGGTATTCCTCCTCATCCTATGAACTTACTGCAAGAGAATACTGAACTCCGAATCGCTGGGCGAGCTGGTATGATCGAGCCACCTCCTACCTAACAAACGCAAGACCCGCTGTACGTTCCCCCCATGGAAACGCTCGGATCATTATCATCCAAACTACTCACTACATGCCCCATCCTGTCGAGGTAAGCATGCCAATCATCACCCAGAGACTCATTGATTGAGATCGTCCCGAAGCTCCGATCTAAACCGATGATCGAGTCTGGTGCGGGATAGGCGGCATCGACATCAAGTGCGAGACGTCTCCCTGAGCGGGATTCGAGCTTACGTTGGCGCCGCGCCCTAGTAGCTAGATGCTTGATCTGGTAAGCTTTGTCGTCAACAATATGAGAGAGCAGGTATGTGTTCATATCCTCGCCATCGATGCTAGGGCTACGTGCACCTATCGCGGCGCTAATCTCCTCGGTATCAAGAAAGACATCTTTGACAGTAGTCACAGCATAGATGCACGATGTTACGACGTGTCGCCAGTTCGCAGCGATGAACTCAGACGGGAAGAGACAGCGGTCCAGTACCAGACGCCATAGCTTCAACTGTAGCCGAGCAAGATCTTTTGAGTGCTTTTGATACGCAGGATATGTCTTTTCGAATGTTTGCATGAAGCCAGCAATGGCGAACCTGGCGCTGGTATCTATGAGCAGTCTTGACACTGCTGGAAGTAGCTGCATGATACCTTTCATCGACGCACCGAAGCACATTGATAGCTGGTTCAACATACCATGCTGTGCAATTCCGACCTGTACAGCGCTCAGGTACAAGACCACGGCAGCGAGCTGTCCACAGGTTGCATTCACCCACAGATGCTGATGATCAACGCAGGTAGTTAAGTCGTCCGTGATACTGTTAACGGTGGTCTGGAAGAAGCCCATGTCTTTCGCGACATCGACTACATCATCGAGAAGACCTTTCAATCGTCGGTTATCGCTGACCCGGTACGCAGCAATATTTTCGGGCGTGCTAGGTACGAAAAAGTGCTTCGAGGACGTTACCACTGCGATGTCGCACCCACGAGCGCGCATCATCACCGGCACGTGAGATTGACAGAAAGGCGGAAAGTTCGGCAAGATGAGCTCAGTCAGCCTTGAACTACGATAATTGATCTGACCAGATTGGATCATCTTTTGACGTTCGCATAGAGTACACGCGAAAGCTGTGAAGTTTGTGACGGGTGTTTTACAGTTCCGTCCGCACAAAGATAGCTGGTTGGTATGAACGGTATGGCCACATGCTAGGCGATGCAAGTGTGATGCGCCGCCATGGCAAGGCTCAGTGCGATTTTTGATGCTCATGCGTAGCGTCGTCAACTCAGCACGCCGGTGGTCGTTCTCTAGCACTCTCTCGTGTTCTGCGACTGCGCGACGCAGTTCTTTACGAGACCTTGTATCTTCCATCATGAAAGGCCAAAAGCTAGCCTCGTGATCTAAGGGGGTGTAAAATGCGGGTTAGGAATTGGACTACACGTTATAGCGCATTTGCTCGTTGATTTAACAGCGCTGATACGGCATAGTGATGATTTGGGCTAAAATCTCATTGTGAAGGCTGGTTATCGGGCATGCTGACATGGCCCGTTACCACACCGTAGCAGTAGCACCGACATCCAGCATAGATACAATGAGAGATCCTCAAGCCGCTCGGACGGAATCTTCATGTAATGTTCGTTTTGATGCAAATGCTCTTGATACATTGTATACATTACAATATCTACAAAGTCATACGGTCTTTCTCTTTTTCGTCTAGTAGTGGCCCTTCTTGGCCTTGATACCCTTGAGGAAGCCAGCGTAAGCAGGCTTCTTCATGTAGTTGTCGTCCCAGAGAAGGGCAGCACCCTCGTTCTCGAACACACCGGGGATCCAAGAGTACTTGTCGGAGATACCCCAGACAGTCATACCAATGCATCGCTTGACATTCATGCACGACTTGGCGACACGCTCGAAAGCATCGGCCTGGACCTGGAGCTTCTCGGGAGTGGCGGGTGTGAGCATGCGGAGGTCGATTTCGGTGTAGACGACGTCAACGCCGAGGTCAGCAGTCGCGCGGAGGGCAGCCTCGAGTGTTGCTTGATCGGGAGCGGCACCAGGAGCGCTGGGGGTGGGCTCGCTGGCAAGATGGGCCTGGTAGCCAACACCGTCGATGCGGACGCCGTAGGACTTGATGAGCTTGACGATACGCTGAGCACCCTGGGTCTTCTCCGCGTTGTACTCAAGGTTGTAGTCGTTGTAGAAGAGATCAGCCTTGCCACGGTACTTGTTGGCGAAGCGGAAAGCAATAGGGAGGAAGGCATCGCCGATGGTGTCGTACCAGACACTGGAGCGGTAGGTACCGTTCTCGTTCAAGGCCTCGTTGACTACGTCCCAGCGTGTGCAAACGCTCTTGTAGCGGGTCATGACGGTCTTGATGTGGTCCTCCATGATACCAATGAGGGTCTTGTTGTCGAATCCGCCCTCAGATACCCAAGCAGGCAGCTGAGAGTGCCAGACCAAAGTGTGGCAGTGGACCTCAAGCTTGTTCGCCTTGGCGTATGCCGCATAGCGGTCGGCATCAGCGAAGGTGTAGTTGCCCTGGTTTGGGTGGACAGACTCAAACTTCATCGCGTTCTCGGGAGTGAAGGAGTTGAAGTCGGCCTTGATGATCTCGCCTTCGCGGGTCTCGTTGCGGAGGGTCAGGGCTGTGCCGATGAATTCCCGTCCTGCCTTCTTCATGGCCTTGTAGAGGCTGTCCTCCTTGGGCTTGCCATGGCCGTAGGTACTACCTCAGTGTTAGTTAGCTGCAATGGTGGCGAGAATATGTGTGACTTACGGGCTGGCAACAGCAGAGCTGGCAATCGCCAGACTGGCGACGATGCTGGAGAAACGCATGGTGATTGAGACTTGGAGTGTTGACTGATTCGAGGTTGTCTGCCACGGATACCCTTAAAGACACGGCGAGCCTGTCATCCTATATATTCTTCGACGGTTATTCTAGAAGTCTAGCGTATGCATACTCAATCAATCTATCCGCTCTCGCGGTTCATCTTCACCCCAGTCGTTTTGTTTAACCGGGCTCGTGGCTCATGTGCGAACTTGTCCTTCGCCGCTGTAAGTCCATTGACCTGGCTGCATGGCGCCACCTGCTTGCGGGTTGCGGAGTTTCTCCAGACTAATCCACAAATCAACCGGCTTGGACCTCGGGATCATCGGGGTCTGGTCCTACTTCTGGGGTAGACGTTCTGGGCGCCAGCGGCCATTGCCTAAGCGAAATGCACATCCGGGGTAGACAAGCACGTGAGATGCAGGTCCCACTCATGTCGACAACGCAGGTGCAGATACGGCTGCGTTAATGGAGACTGGCCGGTTAATGTCAAGTAATCCTCAGCCTCAAGCGTCCACTCCATCCATCCGAGGGTCTGATGCATTTGTCGGCGGTGGTGGTGATGATGCTGGAAGAGATGGCAGAGATGAGGGGAAGATGCCTGGTTGCTGGGTTTGGCCGCTCAGGGTCCGCGCTCACGGTTGATTGACGACCCACAACACCGTAAACTGCGATCAACATGCACATCAATATATCGCGCATTCCATCTACGTCAATCCAACATTCTGTTTATTATTATCCTTCTTCTCTCACGTCGCATCAATCATTGCATTCTCTGTCCGCCATCCTTACACCTCAGTCCTCCGGCAGATCTCATTAAACTCGATGACGACAGGAGACGCCGTGGAGATTTAGCCCACCCGTAAAGCCACGAACCACCTGGGCATCGTTCCCTATTTTAGCGCGAATGTTTACTTGTGCGTGTCCCGCCCCAATGACCAAGATCGCACTTTAGCCATTTTAACCGGCGCCGCACCAACTTCCTCAGATCGCATTCTGGGCGTCTCTTCAGTAAAATGACACCGATGACATTGAGTTTGCCTCAGTTAAGGGAACTTGCTTGAGAGCCAGGTGCGGAAGAGTCCGTAGAAGTGGCAACCGGAGTAATGGGGCCGAAGTCGGTGCCATGACTCGACGCGCGTCACCCGTGACAATGCGGGCAGAACGCTCATCAACACCATCCATCTCACCAGCTCTGAATTCGTTTATACATGGTTTCCAGCTAAGCATACCGCATTCTACGAGATCTAGAGAGCCTACGGTCGACGAGCTTTTCTACCGGGATTAATACAGCTGGCGTCTTCTTCAAAACTTTCAATGCCCATAACGCCTCCTCGGATACCCGTCATGAGAAGTGTCGGAATCCTCTGCGATTCGAAGACGTCTGCTTTATGATCTGGACCACATCGCTGTTCACCTCCACAAAGCATCAAAGATGCGGACACGACATGTATGTCGAGTTCCAAGTATCAGCAGACGTGCTGTACCGCATAAATTGCTGGAGCCGCCCCAAAAACGACAGAAGGGAACAAATTGTTCGTGTTGACGGCTACCGACACGGACATGGATTTTTGGCGGACTCTACACCAGCCACAGTACCGATGGGTGTTGATGATCCAGGAAAATGGTACTCACGTTTACAGTACTGCTGCACACAGCCGGAGCAACTCGGCAGCGACTGTGAATGGCATGATCGTTCGCATCGCTTTGTGGATCTTCATGTGGAGCATCTTACTCATTCAACTCCACAGTCACCCTTCATTTCTACTTGTATCTCGAGTTCGTTACTCCTGGCTAGTCTTCAATCGACGATTTGTCACCAAGCTTCCTGGCCGAGAAAAGACCCTTCAATGTCACGAATTGGTCAGTATCAGTATTGCT